TATGCCTACGCCTAGCGCTTCGTATCCCATATTCTTTGGTAGAGCATAATTAGTAGCGGGGTGTGTTGTCTGCTAGGAATTCTTTTCATAAGAGACAAACGGAGGAGACTCCGAACAACATCATGTCGTACAATGGGATATCGTATTTCGGCCACCTGCATGCGCACGCCGCATTCATACGATGCGCAAACGCTCAATAGTTTGCACAGAGTGATTCTGAGCGTATTCACAGTGCCTAAATGAAAGAGAAAATTATGAAAAATATTAGTGGTATTATTTTAGATTTGTTTAAAAAAATTAACAATGTTTATAAAATAAATTAATAGTAATAGTAGTGAAGGTCACGGGCAGGCGTTAGATGTGGGCAGTACAGGATCGGTTGTTATGGCGAATCTTGGGGGAGGCCTATATCCAGCAGTGGACGTCTTTCAGCTGAGATGATGATTGGTTCAAAAATGTAACTTGCCTTTCACCTGTAACTTTCACCATTGTTTTTAAAAATAAGTAAAACTACGTAAAGTAAGACTGCACGGATGGCGTAGTAGTATAAGCGGTCGCCACGCCGCTTCCTATTACGACGAGTGTTGTGAGTTGAAACCCCACATGGGACCACACTTTGTGTGATCCACAAATTGTTGTTCGGAGTCTGGGTGTTCTTTGTGTCCGTTTCCTGTATGATTGTAAAGTCCCCTGAGATATAAAATATTTTCCTATTAATAATAATAATAACTTCACACATCTCACAAACGGCCGTCTGATCCCAAACAGACTGCTGATAAACATACTTATATATCTTTAAATACATACATATTATACTCGTAGATAAATTACACCCAGACACTAAACAAATGACCGTGCTCATCACACAATATTTGTTCTGGGGGGGAATCGAACCCACGACCTCCGGCTTAGCAGTCAGGGCCACTAACCACTAGACCAACAGGCCCGTCAAATTGCGGGAGTTGTCTTTTTTATTTTTTATTTTTTTTATTTCTACAGTTTAAAGATTAAAATTTATTCACATTTAACACTTTTCTTTTGTAATATTACCAAAGCTACCTAAGCTACTATTATGAGAAGGGGGTCGCCGTGGCACACTACAAGATCTGTAAAAATCGACCGTACATTATTAGACTTTTATGTCAAAATCAGTTGCATTTTAACAGTATATTCTTAAGATATTTGACTGAACTATACAACTGAACTATTTTCCAATGATGGACTTTTAATACTTAGTTATAGAAATAAAAACCAATTATAATAGACAATAAAGAAAATGAAAGTACTCGTATATGTACGGACATTTATACTTTGAAGTTTGAAGTTAGTTTAGTCAGATATAAACAATAATACAGGGTTTCACAGTCTTATATCACACTTAATTTCGTCAGCACTATTAAAAAAAATTAACAATAGAAAACTCCTATATTGTGTAAAATTAAAGCAAATGTCGATAACAATGTAGCATTTTTATAAGACCACCGTAACTTTCTGTGTCGGCATTTCACATTGTTTCCATCGTAACCAAAATTCGTTTATTTATCAAATCTGTAGTAACTGTATCCTCGTAAAACATTTCATTCTTATTTTCTGTATAAAGCAACAAGTCAACAATACAATAACAATTACTAAGTAGCCTTATTCGGAACCATAAACCCGTAAACAATAATTGTAAATTTACAACGCCGTCGTCAAAGGCATTGTGAATTGATTCGTAAAATGACAGATCTCACACAAAGATAGCCGATCACCCCCAAGTCTCCTGCTGGCTGCTGAGAATGTCAATAACGATAGTTTCATATCGATATAAAGTCAACTTCTCGTTACAAATTGGCGGATCGATGTTATCGGAGGACTGTTGTGGTTAGTGTGGGAAATGAGCGATATTTTTTGACGATTTACCTTAAGTACCTAGGACTGAATGGTGTTCTTGTCACGTGTATTTTTCTGTTGGCATTCTTCAGCTCCTAATTGGTTCTATAAATAAACGCGACCAATATATTAACTACTTAACGTATTCCTGTCAGTATAAAACAAAGACATGCAAAGCTCACGGTGTCTTTTACTCATTTTGGGCAATAATTTTGGAACGAAGTTCCTTATTACGCGTTACATGTTCTGAGCCGATTGGAGCCAGAACGCAAAATGTGTAACAATACTTTTTTTAGACACTTCTTGCTGTACTTCGTTCCGACCAGGTCCATAGACCCCTCATGCCGTTTTCTTATTAATTTGTGGTTTAATTTCTGTGAAGACCACCTACAATATTTTTTTAATAAGTTTTGAATTTCTTATGGAATCACATGAGAATAACGTCCTACTGGTATTTCGGCTCAATCCTAATTACATTGTTTTTGAAGATTTACCTGACATTTTATAGCAAGCGTAATACTTTTTTCACATTTTTGCAGGTAAATCACTAGACTGAAAGAGAAAAGCGCTTAGAGCGTGTTATTCTTACTTACTAAAATTATTGTCAGCACAAACAATGCCAGAATAATGTACTAAAACAGTAAATGATAAATTCAACCTTTAATAACCTAATACTACTATTACTTATCAGAGAGACTAACAGACCCTCCTCAAAACCACTCATCAATATCATCGATATCAGGCAACCCCATAACCCACCCCAATCGAGTGATTGTGGGAAACACCAAAGACAATAGCGATCGTATCAAGTTAATAGCTGACATCAAGTATCTAAGGGTACGTAGCGACCTGTGTTATCTGTCAGGATTAGAGAACGTTAAGCCGCAAATACTTCAAATATAAAGAATGATCGTCAGTCACCCAACATCAATGTGCACGGGAGTACTGCTGGGATTTTGCTACCTATTTATTGCGTAAATTTTAAGTCTTATTTTGCCTTTTCTCCGCTGGAGCTCAAAATTAAATAAGTACCTGATAAAATAAGGACCTAAAACTGAGCACGACGATGTCAATGAGTTAAGGTTGTGTTATTGTTTTATATCTAATCAAGATTGATCAAACTGTAGTCTAATCGGATCAAGAGATAATTCTGAACCCTATACAAAATATTATGATATAGATTTAATAGGAGAATAACATAATTAAACCCTCTTGATGATCATAACCAATGATCGGGTATTCACATAAGGGACTTACCAGTTTATTGGAACGATCGATATTTATTATCTACAAATTTGAATTGCGAATGAGGAAACCCACATTGTCATGTTAACACCAAACGATAAAATGTTAAATCCTAATTTTTTACGGCTACGAATATAAAGAAAAAAAAAAGAAAAGAAAAGAAAAGAAAAAAGAAAGAAAAAAAAGAAAAGAAAAAAAAAAAGAAAAAAGAAAAAAAAAAAAAGAAAAGTTAAAAAGTTAAGTTAGTTAGAAAAGTTCGCCTTGCCATAAATGTAACAGCATAACAGTCAACTTTAAAATACACAAGCTAACTTTTAAAATCCTGTCCGCAAGTTTTCTTTCCTTTTTGGTTTAACAATTAATTTATTCTGAAATAAATGACCCAAAATGTTTAAAATATGACTAACACTACGATTAAAAAAAAGTAGAACTTGATTGACCTACGGGGTGCAATCGTGAAAATAAATAGCAAAAGAGTAATATAAACATTAAATGTATATAAACTCGTTTTTTTTTTATATTTAATTAATGTACTCGCAAGCAACAAAGCGTAGGTGTTTTTTCATTAAAGTTCATTCTGTGATCATCACGGATTAATTGCACTTGACATCGCATAAGTAGTGTTATTGGTATTACTGTTTATTGGCACTGGTAATGTCCCGTGTCTACTAACAGGCAGTTATACGGTCACGTATTTGAGTAAAAGCGACGTACGCGATGGCGACGCTACGACGCCGTCTCGGACCATTTTACAAGACAGAACTACCTTTATCATTTCGTGATGGCCGTTGTAAACAAACTATATTTTTGTTTGCAATTTGACTGTAGAATACCAACAAAAAAAAATAGACTTCACAGAGTTAGGAAATACGTTGAATGTTGAACAATATCAAAATAACGAAGTTAATATAATTATAATGCAAATACAAGTAAAATAATCAAAATTGTAATATACAGAACAATAAGATCTCTTTAATCATATCAAAATATATAAAGCAAGCGGTCTAAGCTTTACGAACGAGGTCTTTAATAAATACTTCATAAGTTTCACGATCGCTTGAAACATGTCATGTATAGTCAGTTTTAGAGGGGAGAGAGTATTGTGTTAATATTACAATATGGTGCTGTCAGTTAATTGGAATAGATTATGGGAATGAGGGAAGAAGTACCATGGAGTGGTCCCGAGGGATGCGCTACGGATGGACTTTTTATATTTTTTTATCAAGTCATCGAGCGACAATAGAGAATGGGCGGATTATCACAATATTTGGTGGCTGTCGTGTGTCAGCCTTGAAAATTGACACCGCTGCGGTTGTACTGACAATAGAGACTGGTAGAAAATAAGCCTAATCATGTTTTGCAAACTATTTAAGTGGGTAATTATTATATTATGAATACTAAATACCGGGTTATGAACACTATGAAATGTTTTATCCAACAATGTAAATAGTATGTACATGTACGTATACACATAAATATCTATTTAGGGATATTAACAGAGGTCATGTCGTTTTCCAAATATATTTTCGATATCTTTTAAATCTTATGTACATCCATGTTAATTTGACTTAAAATAATATTTAATGTTGAACATTTGTTTTTTAAATATCTAGAAAGATTTTTTTATAATTTTTAATAATTAAATTTAATTAACTATCTACTATAATTTATGAATATTTTGCTATTGTTTTTTTTTTAATAATAATTATGTGTAACTCTTCTCTAAAAACAGAGTAATCCCTTTACTTATCGTATAAACTTAACGATACCACTTACTTGGAAAACTCTAGTAAATAGATACCACTGGATGCGAGAAAAACCACGGCGCGCCTTCGCCATTGACCTTCCTCAAGCTTTCTCGCATTAGTCCCAATTATAATAGATTAATGTACATATAGGATGGCCACCGAAACCTCATTGGACGTGACCCAGTAAGAGGCCCGCATGTCTGAGACGCAGCCAGACGGCGCGGCTCCGGAGTGACTCACAAGATGACCACACTCGAGATAAACGTACCCGTCTCGAGAGTCTGGACCAGTCTGGGACTTGTTGCCGTCCTCTTCCTGTTTGCCTTTATATTTGGTTATAATATTAACTGACCGTAGTTTTGTATCGTATATTTCTACTATAAGTAATAGTAAAATGAAATAAGCAAAATTTTTATATTTAAAAATGTTCATACAAATCTCCAACTTTATAGGTAAAGACCTAATATTAAAATGTTTATTGCGAGAGGCGAGAAAAATTTACGCTTAAGAAAACCTTCTTTGAAAGAAATAACGTTTTGCCTAATAATTTTTATGACATTTTTTAAAGTAATATTGGTTAAGCATATTCTTGTTATTTTTACCTTGCCACGACATTTCCATTTATTATATCTGTGACCGAGAGTAACCTTTTAACGTTCACTAAATATATACTTTTTTGTTTCTGTTTTCAGGATTTAGGTTAGAGAGCTCGAAATTCTCATTAATAAGCATTCTCACCAGTACACAACCTGCTCCAGCTATGGTAAGACAACGCGGGACTACGGTGAAGGAAAACTTGAAACAAACCCTGTACCAACGCGTCTGGCCAGCGTGGTATAGTAGGCCAAAACCTCCTTTCTAAGGAGAATTTAAGAGATATAACTTATATTTAATTTTTAATTTAACTTATAATCCCTACAACCTAAGATAAAATAGTCAATCTGCTAAAAAACAACAAACAACCTAATAATTTTATTTGCCCTGATGCATAGAACTTGCATTGTGAAATAAATTTAACTCACTGGCTAAATTATTGCGTGAAACCATACATCGTTGTCGGTCGACACTTTTATTGATAAAAAAGCAAATAAAAGATGTAACAAAACTAACAATGCTTTGAAGATGCGCAATAAATGTGCAATAATGTGCGTTCTTGTGTGCGCATCAGTGGAACTGTGTGATGAGCGTATCGGACGTGACAATGGACTAACCGACGCGTGCGCAACCCAAAGCCTTGTGGCACACGCGTCCTACATCCCCAGCATACGATATAGCTGACGTGCGTGGCATGACGATGCTGCCTTTCAATGTTTAAATTCATAATGTTATTATGTGTTAATAAAACAACACTACTAATTGTGAAAACTCGTAGGTCCAATAAAAATAAAAACTAGAATATTGTTAACAATAATGTTAAGTTACTCCCAAATTCGTATTATAGTATTATGTTTCGCATAAAATAGGTGGTTTATTTTTTTGGCCAAGTATATAATAAGTTTCATTCATTCACCAACTTTTAACCTTCTTTATCGCAAAATCCCATTTATTTAGAAACAATTTAATCTCGCACAATCTATTGTTGCAATGTCCGAAAAAACAAGCTTAGCGAACAAATAATAACACCCAATGGAATATTGAATGCAGATCTTGAGCGGCTATTGTGGCCAAATTCCTTTCATATTTGATTTGTTGCTACAAATAGCGGACATGAAAAGCGTTTAAAGTACTTAATGTCCAGTAATTGGCGATCAATGAGGATCAGTGGGCACATTGTGCGAAAGTATCGAATAGCTCTAGTTCGCATTGTCCGAGCGCGGATAAAAAAAAATATAAAAAATATTACTAAGCCAAACATAAGTACCCGTCATGGGTCAGCCGTCAATAGCGTGATGTCGATTTTTATAGCGATTATAAAGCGTGGATACAAAAATCTGATAAGCAACTAACATTTACTTAATAAACATATTTAAAAATTATAATGTAATACCGTAGCTTTCAATTTTTTTATAATAGTGTTGACATGACATGTATAAGCAAGTCACTACGTTATTAAACAATAGACAAGGTGTTCCTAACGGCCTCTACTAAACATTGAATATTTAAAATATAAGTTAAAGCGCAAGCGCAATCACCGGGCTGGTCCCACGCACTCTGAATAAGAAATATGAGCTGAACGGATACTACTATTATCAAAACATTATTACAACACTCGAAACTCACCCTACCAGTGTAAAAATTTAACAACAATTGCCTTTAATATTCGTTCATCGGTACCGACCCTTACTGGTTTAAAAAAACTGTCAATCTGCAGTAGATCAATCATGGCTGGTGAATAGTCGAGGGGGTGAGAGACACGCTTCTCGACCGCAATAATAAAGGCTTCTTCGCAGATAATAAAACCGATCTATATTTACGTAAGCGCCTCAGTTTGATGTCCAATATTATGCGTGGGCGCATCCGACACTGATTTCTTTTGTTAGGTCCTATTTACTCTTTTGTACTTGTGTTACCTACACTTGATTGACATTTTGCAAACAAAATAAATTCTTCAAGTAGGCGTTTTGATGTATGCTTTGTGCACAGAAAACTTTATCATATAATTAAACGTTTTTTTTTCAGTCAGTTCACTTCGAAGTTTGCCGTTACCCTGACATACATCACGCATATTGTTGCAAAAACATATTGAAAACATAGAACGCCTTTTAAAATTTAATTACTTCAATACCATGCACCTTCTTTGAACATGTTAGTATGTGAAATGACACCATTAGTACAAGACAACATAATGGTGCTTTCGGAAACGGTGATGCGGCCGGGCGCGTCCACGTGCGCTAGTACAAGATATGCACCGTGGTACGCACTACCGCGCCCACGTGCCCTTAGCCCATATGCGCTCACACGCCTCGCACACGCCTCTCAGGTAGAACTACTGATGCTAATGTTTGACGCGTGGCTATAAGATAACACTTTACCCATGATAAGGAACAGGTAGACTTAAACTAATATAGGTAATAAAAGGAATATTATTTCCTTTAGTATTAGAGAATAATATTTCTGATAAAAGTTGTACTGTTTTGTGTTCTTTCTTTTCCTCAGCTGTTTCTGATACATTTCTATAAATAGGCCTCTCCCAAAATCTTCCGAGCCTTTCTATCTGCGGCCTTGATCATCCAGTTGTCCTACCTAATAATCGACTCATTTTATTATCTGATGCGCAATGTGATTCCTAGCATAGCTCTTTCCATGGTCTTTTTGGAGCGGAGCGGTCAGCCGAAATATTCAGGGGCGAGACCCTGAGTGAGGGACATGATCTCGGTACCATAAGTGAGTGCTTTAAAAGTTATCTGCCTAATTATTATGGAGTTTGTGAAGGAGGAACACGTGAAAAAAATGTGATTCCTGCAAATTATAAAATACGTATTATTTTTTATTATTATCTCTTTAGACTTTTACACAAATGTCTAATGACAACGCACACATAAAGTATAATTTACTTTAACTTGTTATCAAGAAGGTGAGTCCTTAACGCCTGTTTGTTTTTTAATAAAGTATATAAAATTATTAAGTAGTTAATCACTTCATGGTTCAAAAAATTAATCTATAAAAAGTCAAACATTTTTATAATGTATGAAATGGAATGGATGTATGAAATTATTTTCGAAAATAACTTTATTCCTTTAACTAAATACATCTTTTAAATACATCATAATGAGTGTTTACGACTTATGGATTAGTGTTTGCTCTCTTCGTACTGGTAATCGCAATGTCAGCCGTGCACTTTATCACCGATTCTAATCGCACTTAGCAACCCCAACAGAACGCCGTCTTATTGATGATCTGTCAATAAAAATCAAAATCCTTTTTGTACGCGGAGTTTAGGGTTAAAACCAAACGGTTGTAGCTGGTTGTTGGATATGTTTTTTCTATGTATTTGCAATATGAATAAAAACATTAGATTTTTTGTAAAATTCCTTTTAAGTAGGTTTGATTTTTTTTAAAGGTTATTATTTCAAACTAATTGGTAAAGTGTTAAAGAACTAGATATGCGGACTCAAAATACCCATATGACACTTCATGGTTTAGTCGTGTACATAGGTAGGTACGTACTCACATAGAAAGCCAGATATAAGGATTCTATTTCAATTGCCAAAAGCCATCTATTTTCTACTAGACTCCCTCTCGTAAACAAAAAAAAAACCTGTACCTACGTCTAAATGATATGCTATTAGAGTAGATTCAGCAGTAGTATAATAGTAGTGTTACAGTAAAGTTGGTAAAAACTTGCCAGCGGTAAGTGCATCATACATACAAGTAGTTGATATTTTCTCTTTAGAAAATGCTTTCTAATGCAGGTAAATATTTCTTAACAATAAACTATAAATTTTCAGTATTATTTTATTATATTTCAATGAGTTTTTTATTCAGAAATTTATTTTTATTATATTTATAAACTTTCACAAAAATCTGGACGTTTCGCCAACATCATTGCTTGATTCTTTAAATTAACACAGGGTTACTGGTTAAGTCGGCCTAGATACTTAAGGTAATTGTAGTGGCCATTATTACTAATAAATTTCACTATGAAATACCATTTCCCAAAACCTAACCTTTTTAAGATATTGGACCTTTAATTTTTTTTTGCCTAATACTTTTTTTTTAACGTATATCCTTATTTTTTCTTTTTTACTGTGTTTGTATCCTTGATATATTGTTTTATAATTTCCATTACTCATGACAAAATGGGCCCGAAGTTAGTTAGTTAGTTAATAATAGCAACAATAAATAAATATGTAATATTTTTTTTTGTAAAAATTAAATTAGATTCATCTGTCAATTTTCGCATTTTACGGGCTTTACTTAAAGACCCTAAAATATTCCAATATCTTTCTATAACACGACATCTTGTATAGGTACTCGCGTCCGTAAAACCCTGATCGCAGGAATTGCACCTCTGTTTGCAAACAATTAGAAGTAGGTAAATGAATAGTTTTTATATTTGTAAATTAAGATTAAAATTTAAACATTAAAAAAAATATATATTCATACTCGTAGAAAGAAACAACATCTATATCTGTACAAATAAATAAAATTGGAGTGTCTGTTTGTAATATTAAAATAACCGCTTTTTACTAAATGCATATGTATGTTTACACGGTATATATTATCAAAACATTTTTTTAATTTTTTGTCCGTCTGTCTGTCTGTCTGTTTGTTCCGGGTAATCTCTGGAACGGCTGGACCGATTTCGACGGGACTTGAACTGGCAGATAGCTGATGACATAAGGAGTAACTTAGGCTACTTTTTTTAGAATAGCTTCGCCCCGCGGCGTTGCCCGCGGTTATAACAACAAACGCGGGTAACACCGCGGGTCTCAGCTAGTAATAAATAAAAACAGCTACATTGTTAAGAATATAAAAGAGACTAATACTAATTAATTTATCGAAGTCATGTCCAATGATGTTACTAATTATGATAAAAGGGAGGATCAAAATGACAAAAGTGAAACTATTGGCTCATACCTGTACAGTTTTCGGTCACAAAAAAATAAATTCCTTACTAGATTCCTTTACTTCATACTTTTTCATTCGCTTTTGCATAATTTCTCAGACTAGGAGTAGTAGCAGTACTAGTCTGAGGAATTATTTGTACAATACACGACGAACGTTTGTTATGCGAGACCACACCTAAGACTTTTACAGTCCCCTCCAGCCTACCTATTGTATATGCAATGCTCATTATGGACGCCTAATAAAATTGCCTATGAAAAAATAATTAATAAGATTGGCATTTGTTAAAATCACATTAATCATATCCCGCCATTTCGCATATTGTAAACAGATAAATAGGCAACAAAAGAACACACGAGAATAGTTTCAATAATACTGATAGCAAACGCGTGTCTGTACAATCTATTGACACTACCAACTAAATGGACTCCAATGGACCAACAATAGTATTTGCTTGTTGCCGCATTATACTGACCACAGGGGGACTGATTGATCATTGAACATGAAGAATATACCTTTAATTTTTACTGAAGCCGGAAATATAAGCACCCTCTCCTCTACTTTTTAACACAAAAGATTATAAATTGTTGTCGCATGTGCAGATAGACTATACAAAGGTAATTTACTGATGCAATATCAAATATGATACAGCAGCAATAACCGTACATCTCAAAAGTACAAATATTGTTCTAATAACAATAAACATAAAGTATTCGTGGCGACTGCGCGCACGCAACCCTTTCCCACCGCTCTAATTTTACTAATGCGATCAACTAACAGAG